CGCACACGCACACACACGCACACTCACACACACACACACACACACTCACACACACACACGCACACACACGCACACACACACACACACAACTGTTCAAGAGTTCAAGAGAGTTCAGTGAATAGAAAAAAGAAGCGTGAGAGACTTTACACTGTGTAAAAACTCTGGGCTCACGGCCAGCTACTGCACAAGGATGTGAATAGTGTGATTTAATGAGTGAAAACTGCAGCTGAACTCACTATTTTAAAGTTACCATTGTCCATTTAACAAGAGAATGATTATTAGTCTTTCATTAATGCTGAAAGAAAATCATCAGCACGTTTGGCCACCAAATATGATATGGGCTACATTTATATCTATGGAGCAATGATGTTATGTTATAAAATCATGTCAAGCTTGAGTAAGACGTTATGGCTGTTTTAGTTCTTTCAACCAAGCTGCCTTTCAAAATGTTGTTAATAATCAGTTTTTATTGTGCACTTGAGCAAACTGTGTCTGTATGGAGAACATCCAAAAGTAATGACAATGTGAAAAAGCTTCCTACGGCGTTTCATTGGTACTCTGTGTTTCTCAATCCTGCGGAAGCACAGCACATTCTGTACGTCTGTCTCTTCTGACTCACTCAGCTCAGTTCATAAACGATGATGTGAATCATCTGTGTCTCATCCAGGAGCAGGACTGAAAATGAGAGCCAGAGGGACTAGTTCAGCAAACACTCACCTATCTATGGCGACCAGCCGGTCCTCCGGTAAGGAGAACATGCAGCCCATGATCATAAGAGACACGTCCAAGAATGGAGACAACAGGACAAACAAGTCACAGCGAAGACAAACTGTTAATCACAGTGCATACCAGAAAAACAAGGCACCGCCATAGGTAAAAAAAACACATGAGAACTGACACACAGAGTCCAGAAAGCCTAAAGAGGACCTGAAGGAGAGCTTGAATGTGACTGTACGTGAAGGAGTCGATTCCAGAGGAAAGCAGAGGCTCTTACAGCGTCCCTCCTCCATCAGGAAAGGTCTGCACAAGTATTGACACGGTGAAGCATCATGTCAACAGACAGCCTATATTCCCCACGCTCTCAAACACGTGCAACATCTGGACGCCACAAAGCAGGACTCCCACGTGTGAAGCACGCCAAAAAAAACTCGTGTAAACAAACAGAAACCTCGAGAAAGGTCCTTCATCCTCTCACGATCCCAGAGAAAAAGCCATGCAGACACAGCATGAAACAGAACAATCCTGTAGCCGTAGCAACGGTTTCTTAAATGACAGCGACGCTGGTTTTGAAGGCGGCGAATGACTGCGGTCTGGCCCCTCCCTCCGGAGAGCAGGGTCGCCATGGCAACCACATCCATCATAAAAGTATCCTCCCGTGACAGGCCAGGCAAAGAGAGCAGTGAGACAGATTGGAAACGGTTTCCACATGAAAGGGAAGGGAGAGAAGAAAATAGGCTGGACATAATGGAGGGCTTGTGCTGTGCCTCAACTTTCCACCTTTGAGAAAGACTTGGCTGGCCTTGCCAAATACAAACTCCATTGACATGCGGATTTGAAAAGATATATATATACTTGCATAAGCACAACTTTATGTAAGAGAGAGAGCGAGAGAGAGAGAGAGTGAGGACATTTGCCATTTCTAACAGCCCAACTCTTGAGACAAAACAACAACTGAGTGACTGTAAAGGGCAATTTTACTGTGTAGCGAAACATAACTCCCCTCTTCTTTAAAGTAACAGTTCAGCCAAAAATGAAAATTAGCTGAAAATGCTCTCACCCTCAAGCCAGCCAAGACATAAATAGGTTTGTTTCTTCATCAGATCTGGAGAAATGTAGCACTGCATCAGTGTCTCAGCAATGGATGCTCTGCAGTGAATGGGTGCCGTCAGAATGAGAGTCCAAACAGCTGATAAAAACATCACAATAATCCACAAGTAATCCACAGCACTCCAGTCCATCAGTTAACATCTGGAGAAGACCAAAGCTGAAACACATCCAGCATTAAGACGTTTAAAGTTCAAACCTTCGCTTATGGCTAAAATATGAATCCATAATAGCGCTTCCTCCAGTGAAAAAGTGGTCTGGTCTGAATCAGGAGAGAAATCAAGCTCTGTTTACAAGCCAAAACAGCTCTAAAAATGTTGATGTAACAGGAGATGGACTTTTTCAATGGAGGGAACGTTATTATGGATTATGGACTTGTATTTTGGCCAGAAGCAACGGTTTGAAGAGTGAGGACATTTGCCATTTCTAACAGCCCAACTCTTGAGACAAAACAACAACTGAGTGACTGTAAAGGGCAATTTTACTGTGTAGCGAAACATAACTCCCCTCTTCTTTAAAGTAACAGTTCAGCCAAAAATGAAAATTAGCTGAAAATGCTCTCACCCTCAAGCCAGCCAAGACATAAATAGGTTTGTTTCTTCATCAGATTTGGAGAAATGTAGCACTGCACCAGTGTCTCTGCAATGGATGCGCTGCAGTGAATGGGTGCCGTCAGAATGAGAGTCCAAACAGCTGATAAAAACATCACAATAATCCACAAGTAATCCACAGCACTCCAGTCCATCAGTTAACATCTGGAGAAGACCAAAGCTGAAACACATCCAGCATTAAGACGTTTAAAGTTCAAACCTTCGCTTATGGCTAAAATATGAATCCATAATAGCGCTTCCTCCAGTGAAAAAGTGGTCTGGTCTGAATCAGGAGAGAAATCAAGCTCTGTTTACAAGCCAAAACAGCTCTAAAAATGTTGATGTAACAGGAGATGGACTTTTTCAATGGAGGGAACGTTATTATGGATTATGGACTTGTATTTTGGCCAGAAGCAACGGTTTGAAGTTATAAACGTCTTCATGATGGATTTGTCTCAGCTTTTGTCTTCTCCAGATGTTAACTGATGGACTGGAGTGCTGTGGATTACTTGTGGATTATGGACTCAATGTTTTTATCAGCTGTTTGGACTCTCATTCTGACGGCACCCATTCACTGCAGAGCATCCATTGCTGAGACACTGATGCAGTGCTACATTTCTCCAAACCTGATGAAGAAGTGACATATCTTTTGTTCTGTATTGTGACGTGCAACAAAATATCAAATAAGAAAAACAACCATCGGTTGTTGATTGGATTTTGAGATGTGGACGTTGCACTTAAAACATAAATGCATAAACAATTGTCACTTCATGCTGACTTTAATGTTATAAGTGTTTTATATTGGCCTTGACCTATATTTTTTATAGTCTTGCTTGGAAGCTTTTCTTGGAATCAACACAATCAAAGTCACAGCCGATTGAAACGTGTGGAATTGCTTCCCTTTCTTCATAAAAACAAAAGAGCTCTTCTGTGTTTCTGATTCAACAAATGGTCAGCTATTCTTTACAGACACACAGACCCAAATTCAATTTCTGCTTTCGTCACTAATTAGAAGACTGTATCTGTGAAGCAGTTGTTAAGCAACATCAGGGGCTGGACGGATGAGTGTGGATATCTAGAAGA